AGTCCGCCACATCCTATTGCAACCGTGCACAGCAGATCCTAGTGAACTTGAGGATGGCCGGCGTAGATTATTCGCAGGCGTCTTACATTACTCATGTCGTGAAGGGGTTGCCACAACAGTACAACCTCTTACGCAGGATGCTGAAGCTGCCGCAGGTACGCAAGGAGTTGGACGAGGACACCCTCGCTAGCTACATTATCGAGGAGGAGTGTACGCTGGCAGCGGAGGGACGGAAGGACCAATTTCTTCCCCAGGCCAACCAGGTCTTTACCAAGAAGGGTAAGCCCCAATCCCAGCAGACTTCATCCCCTTCCCCTCCCACTACGGCACAGCAGCAGCAGCCTAAGACTGGGGGTGGGGTTGGAGGTGGAGGAGAGAAGTGGAAAGGGGCTAAGGATGGTCAGCCAAAGGGGGGGAAAGGTGGCTTCAAGGGGAAGTGCTACGTGTGTGGACAGACAGGGCATGTTGCTAAGTACTGTCAGCAGCGGGCAGATAAGGAGGCAGACACGGGTGGAGAGGGTTCTGGAGGCAGCGGCGCGAGTGGCAAGGGGGGCGATGGCTCTAAGGGGAGCGGGCAGTCATCATGTGCGATGGTGAAGCCCGTTGTAGAGCAGACTCCTCTTGTCGTGCTGGAGCCTGAGGCCGGGGAGGGCTTACAGGCTCTTGCAGCTGCTGTGAAGGCGAACCCGAGCGTCGTGCTACTTGATAGCGGATGCTCCCACCATCTCATGGGAGATCGTTCTGCCTTTGTGGAGATGAGCAGCGGCGGTAGTATCAAACAAGTGAAAGGCTTCAACGGCGCGCTTCAGGACGTGCAGGGGCGAGGCACAGTCGCTCTTCTTGGAGAAGGGGGCAGGCGTCTCTTGGTGTCTGACGTGCTGTACGTACCTGGAGTGCAGGCGAGTCTTCTTTCTGCTGGGCAGCTGCGTGATAGTGGCGTGCAGCTGCTGGATGCAGGCGACGTGACTCTGCTGCGGGCACCAGATGGGTCACTTCTTGGGCGTGCAGAGTACAAGGGGCGTGTTCTCTGCACGAACTTCCAACCGTGTTTGTCGCAGCAGCAGGAAGGCGAAACGGTGGCACTTCGTACCTTGACGACGGGCGTGCGGTCTAAGGTGGACATGTGGCATGCGCGTATGGCACACGTTGGTATTGATGCCATCGAGCGCACTGCGTCTCACGGGTCAGTGAAGGGCTTGGACCTGGAGAAGGGGGGCAAATCAGGCATACCGTGTGTCTCCTGTGTTGGGGGGAAGATCACTCGTCATACCTTCCCGCCAGTGGGTGCGGAGGAGGATGAGTTGCTTGGGGTGGTGCATGCTGACCTGTGTGGCCCTTTCCGTGAAACAGCTAAGGACGGCAGCCGCTACTTCCTGGTGCTGAAGGATCGCAAGTCGCGGTACGTCTGGGCCTACCCTTTGGCTCAGAAGAGTGATGCGCTGGCGGCGTTTCAGAAGTGGCTCCCGATGGCAGAGCGGCAGTGCAAGACCACGGTGCAGGCGCTGCGCACTGATCGGGGTGGCGAGTTCCTGGGGCATGACTTCACGCTCTTCCTCGACGGCAAAGGCATCATCCATGACCTCACGTGCCCGTACACGCCGGAGCAGAACGGGATGGCCGAGAGGGAGATGCGCAGCATTGTGGAGGCGGTGCGGACGATGCTACTGCACATGGGTGTACAGCATCATTGGTGGCACCTGGCGTTGGCGCAGGCCGTCTGGGTGCGCAACCGCGTGGAGCACGCCTCGCTGCCCTCTGGTGTGACGCCGTACGAGCTCGCCTTTGGACACAAACCCGATGTCAGTATGGTGCGGGTATGGGGCTGCATGGTGCAGTACATGGTGCCTCAGTCGCAGCGTGGGGGGAAGCTGGCACCTAAGGCTCGCTGGGGGTTGCACTTGGGGGTGTCCGCAGCGAGCAAGGGCTGGACCGTGCTGGACTTGGAGTCCAACCGCCTCATCACCACTGTGGAAGCTGTGTTCTATGAGACCATGTCCTTGGCAGGATGGAAGGCGTGGCATCGGCAAGAGCATGGGGGGCGTCCAATGCCCTATGAGCCCCTTCCCTCTCACTTCCCGATCACTCTTGAGGAGGCGGTGGAGGAGGAGGAGGTGGTCGCACCTCCTGCTATGCCCTATGTCCCTACCTCGGTCCCCACCCCACCTCCGCCTTCAGTTTACCCTCGTGTGGTTCCCCCTGCCCCACCTTCTTCATCCTCACCCCCCTTGGCTTCCCCTCCTCCTCCTGTTATTCCCTCTCCCCTTCCACCCTCCATCCCTCCTGCACCTGCTCCACCCTCCTCTTCATCTTCCACGGCGCCGCCCGTTGGTGAGGGGGGGAACATGGTGCCACCGTCTGTGGAGATCACCGACGGGCAGCGCCTTGAGACTGAGCAGCTGCAGGACGAGAGCAGCATGGATGGAGTACAGCAGAGTGGGGGGCAGGAGATAGGGGAGCAGCAGTTAGGGGAGCAGCAGAGTGGGGAGCAGCAGATAGGGGAGGAGCAGATTGAGGAGCAGCAGATGGTGGACCAGCAGCTAGGGGAGCAGCAGACAGGGGAGCCGCAGACAGGGGAGCAGGAGCTGTGGGGAATCAGAGATGGTGGTCGTGTGTTGGCTTCTGGGACGATCACTGCGCCACTGCGTCGCTCCACTCGCATCACCCGTGGTATCCCGCCTCTTAAGTATGCTTGGGCTTTAGTGATTGAGCCAGCGGGATTGGATGACGAGGAGGAGGACGAGGAGTGGACGGACCTGGATCCTGACGTGGTGGCCGACCCTGAGAGGCAGTGGGATATAGCGAAGATGACAGTGAAGGAGGCCTTGGGCTGCTGGAAGGGCGACAAGGTGAAGGAGGCAATGGATGAGGAGATGCGGAGCTTGATTGAGCAGGGGACGTGGGAGTTGGTTCCGCGTCCGCCAGGGGTGAATGTAATGAAGAACCGCTGGATCCTGAACACCAAGTTCCGACCGGATGGGGTAGTGGAGCGTGAGAAGGCGCGGCTGGTGGTGAAGGGGTTCACGCAGGTGGCAGGGGTGGACTATGAGGAGACGTACGCTCCTGTGGGAAGCTATGTGACGGCGCGCGTACTTCTGGCGATCGCAGCTGCACTTGACTTGGAGCTGATGCAGCTAGATGTGAAGAATGCGTTCCTCCATGGCGTGCTGGACCGAGACCTGTACATGGAGCAGCCGAGCTACTACGAGGATGGGACTCCTCGTGTCTGTAAGTTGTTGAAGAGTCTGTATGGTCTCAAGCAAAGCCCGATGCTGTGGTATGAGGCCTTGGATGGGGTGCTGCTTGGGGCTGGATGGAAGAAGAGCAAAGTGGATGAGGCTTTGTACTTCAAGAGTGATGCTGACGGGGAGATGTGCTGGCTGCTGGTGTATGTGGATGATTTGCTTGCTGCCAGCCGCAGTCAGAGCATGCTGGGGGAGCTACGTGAGCTGCTGCAGAGTGCGTTTCAGCTGCGGGAGATTAGCCCTGTGGAGAAGTACCTGGGGCTGCAGCTGATTCGGGACAGGCCTACGAGGAGGCTGTGGCTGCACCAGGGGGCCTACGTGGACAAGGTCCATAGGCGCTTCTTCGACGGGGAGCAGCCGCTGCGAGTGCCTCGCACCCCCCTTTCCTCTGACCCTTTCAGTGTGCAGACCTTTGAGGATGCGGGATGGCAGTCTCGCCAGGAGGAGGAGTACAGGCAGAAGGTGGGATCCTTGCAGTTCGCAGCCTGTACCACTCGTCCCGACATCTCCTTTGCCTGCAGCAAGCTGGGGTCAGGCCAGACTGTGCGGAGTGACCAGCACTGGAAGGAGTTGGACCGGTGCTTGGCGTACTTGGTGGGGAGCAGGGATGTTGCGCTGGAGTTTGGTGGTGGGCCTGAGTCCTTGGAGCTGGTGGGCTATGCCGATGCGGATGATGCGGGAGACAAGCAGAACAGGACTAGCACTGGTGGCTATGTCTTCGTGCTCGGAGGTGCTGCTGTCTCGTGGGCGAGCCAGAGGATTCGTTGCGCCACCCTCTCTTCCACTGAGTCTGAGTACGTTGCTGCTGTGGAGGCGGGGAAGGAGGCGCGTAGGCTGCGCTTCCTGCTGGCAGAGTTTCAACTGCTGAGGAGTGAGGTTCCCACTACTCTCTTTGTGGACAACTCCTCCGCCATTTCAGTGGCAGGTGGCATGGGGCTCAAGGGGAGCCTCAAGCACATGGAGCGTCGTCACATGTGGCTGCAGCACATGGTCAAGCGCAGGAAGCTGCAGCTGCAGTACATCCCTACGAGCGAGCAGCCTGCTGACTACCTTACCAAGGCATTGCATTTCCCCGCCTTCAGTCGTTGCTTCGAGGCTGTGGGGCAGGTGAGGCTCTCGAGCGAGGGGAGTGAGACCTAGACACTCCTTGATGTGGTTGGTGCCATGGCCTATCCATGGCTGGTGCGGTGCGTGTTTGCACTTTGAGAGTGCTTCGTTTGTGTGTGTTTCCCTTTGTTTTGGTGTGTATGTGTGTATGCATGCCCTGTGATTATAAAGGGCCTTGCTGTAGTATGGCAGGGGAGTGTTAGAGGGCCCTACGACAGCAAGGGCCCTCGACGACTTGGCAGATTGCTAGATTGACGACCTAGACTGACGCCCTTCGCCACCGACATGGGAATATTGGTGATGGTCGCGTATTGACAAAGCGTGACTGCTGAACTTGTCGTTGGAGTTTGTGCAGGGCAGTACAAGTCTGTGGGAGTCATTGGTGGTGTTGCCGAGTTGGAGTTGGTTGGTTGGGGTGGCGTGTAAGAAGGAACATCCCGCTGCTGAGTCAGGTTGGGATTGGCCGAGGCGCGGTTCACCCATCCACACGACAGTTTCGTGGGGTTGGGTTACTGCGCAGCGCCACGGCAACTTTGTGCAACTTCCCCGTAGCCTATATCTATCTTGTGTGTTTGCTTTTGTATTCATAATAATATTACAATCTCTACTCAAGTTCTCACTTAGCCATTTGAGACAAGCTCTACCGAAACGCTACCGAATTCCTCGCGCAACACCATTCTCACAAGCAGAAACTCTCTCGCCGTCGTAACGCTCTCCATAGTATTCCTTCACTAGCTGCCGAACGTCGCCGCCCATGCGCTTCACGCGCTGCTGCACGCGCTCCCCCGCGGACAGCTGGTTAAGGTCCGGGTACAGGCGCATCAGGAGGAGCTGCGGAGGGGTGGGAGAAGCGAGGGAGGTGGGAGGGGAGGGAGAAAATGGATGACAGCAGAGTGAAGGTGCACCGGCACCCAAGCGGACAGCTGGTCAAGGTCCGGGTACAGGCGCATCAGCAGGAGCTGCGGAGGGGGAAGGGAAGGGGCGCGGGGGGAAGGTTGGACGGATGATGGCGGAAGTAAAGTCGCTGCTGCACGCGGTTCCCCGCGGATAGCTGGTTGAGGTCCGCGTACAGGCGCATCAGGAGGAGCTGCGGAGGGGGAAGGGAAGGGGCGCGAAGGGGGAAAACGCAAAAAACGGGCCAGGGGAAGGGTGGGGGGAAAGGGATGGATGATGGGGGAGAAAAAGGCGCTGCTTTGAGCTCTTCCCCGCGGGCAGAGGCGCGGGTAGAGGTGCATGAGGGTAATCCAGGGGGATGGAGGAGAGGAGTGGCCAATTAATGACAGGGGTGTTGCGAACGGGTTTGGGGTTTTAGCGGGAAATGTCCTGCCCTTTTACTACGTGTTTGAGCAGACATGGCTTGGCTTTTTCCCTCAAAATCACAATCCACCTGCGACTCGGTTGCACAACCCACCTGCGCCTCGGTCTTCTCCATGTCGTCGCCCATCTGGCTCGCAAACGACAGCGCGAATCGCTCGGATGGTTCCCATCGCCGCCGCCGTTCCCCCGCCGATCCGTCCGCCGGCGGCGGCTGCTGCGGCGCGCCTCCTGCCGCCGCCCGTGCGAGATTCACTCGATTCGTCCGTTGCCGCTGCGGAGCGGACGATTCTTGCGCACTACGAGACACGTGGCGTCTGCCAATTGGTCCGCGAAGCAAGGGCCGGCCGAGAAATGCCGCACGTGGAACGATGGACGGAGAGCCATGGATTTGGCGCGGAGTAACTAACAAGGACGAATTAAGAAGCAAGGAGTGACTGGGGAGGCAGAAAATCGTAGGGGAGGAAGCGCGGGTCCTTTCGAGGCGCCTAAAAAAATTCAAAGATTGACTGGGAAGGCTGGAAATCGTCGCAGAGGAAGCACGGGTCCTTACTACGTCGAGCGCGGTTTCGGAGTGTAGGGATCGGGAGGTGAACGAAGTGCGTTCTAGACCGGTGGAAGGAGCCATAGCCACGGCTTCAGCGGAAGGACGCCACGCGAGTTAACTGCTTGCTCCAATAGCGCTGACCGCTCTGACCACTTACCAGCTTCCAGTCCGTGTTGTCTTGGCCAGAACTAGTTTTCTCCCGACGCGTGGCATTGGTTCACGAAATCCGTGCACAACCACAAGGCAAGGCAAGGTTCACGCGACAATATCAAGGTTCGAACCAGGGACAAAATCAAGGTGGGCAAAATTGCAAATGTGCCAGCCGGGAATCGAACCCGGGTCTGCACCGTGCTGATGTGGCAGGGTGCTATTCTACCACTAGACCACTGGCACTCGACGTTGTCATCTTAACTCGATATTTATTAATTTTTACATCTTGCATTTCGTGTTGTGGAAGCTAGTAGCGGTGCCACGTGTCCAACCCTCTCAGTTTTCCACGTCATGTAAGCCTCTGATGTGGTGGCTATCTGCTCATACAGCGATCTACGTGGCCGAGGCATACTCGCTACGGAACAGAGCGTTTTTGTCATGCTGATTTGCAACTTAGTGGAAAAATATTACCCTAATGAAAAATGAAACACTGGCTAGGTTAGGAGCCCTCGCCTCACCTGTAAATAACCTGCACCTTCCCATTGCTCTCGCAATCAGTGGCGAGCTTCGCGCATGCCTCGCGAAATGCAAGTGCGAGGCTGCGTGCTGCATGTTTGCGTGCGGGTCTGGGCTGGGCAGCCTGGGCTAGAAACCGCGTCGCATAATGAAAATGCAAGAACGAATCAGACGCGGCACGGTGCCCCTCCCCTTCCCCTTTTTGCCGGCGAAATTCGCCCTCCCCCTCCACCGGCAGCGCCAGATCGCTACTGTACTCACCCGCAGCCGCTCCGCAGCGCCAGCCACTCACTCCCCGCACTCCCTCGTTCGGAAATGCCCAATGCCCGCTGCCTGACTTTTGCTGTTTGAGTTGGGAGAGCCTCTTGGAAAGCAGAGCCGCTGATGCGGGAGGCGCCATTTCGGATTTCTTGGAAACTCCAACGTACTAATTACGTCTTCGTCATCCTCCAAGCTTAATTACTCTCTACCGAAGTGAATTAGTATCGCTAAAGCCTGCAAATTTTGGCGCCAGAATATAATAGACGAATATTGATCATAAGATAATACACTTTTTTCCCCTAGAAGCCGACGCCCGGAATGGAGAAGCTATTCGGCCTGCTCCAGGTGGACCAATCAACGGTGGCCATGGTGGAGCATTTCGGGCGGTTCGTGAAGGCGCTCGACCCGGGCTGCCACTGCGTGCCGTGGTGCTGCTGCTACCGCCCCGCGGGACTCATGAGCCTCCGCGTGCGCCAACTCGACGTGCGCTGCGAAACCAAAACCAAGGTAGGGCTGGTAGCCGTTGTGCTTTCGAAAAATGGTAGGTTGAGGGAAGGGGCAGAGGGATGTCATTGCGTGCCGTGATGCTGCCGCTGCTACCGCCCTGCGGGCCTCTGAGCCTCCGCCGCGTGCGCCGCCCCGCGGGGCTCATGAGCCTCCGCGTGCACCAACTGGACGTGCGCTGCGAAACCAAAACCAAGGTATGGGTGGTAGCCGTTGCGCTTCGGTGCTTTCGAGAGAGGAGAAGGTAAGGGAAGAGGAAGAGGGCTACCATTGCGTGCCGTGGTGCTGCTGCTACCGCCCCGCGGGGCTCATAATCCTCCGCGTGCGCCAACTGGACGTGCGCTGCGAAACAAAGACCAAGGTATGGCTCGCTGCGCTTCGGTGCTTTCGAGAGAGAGGAGGTCGGGGAAGGTTGGCTGTCAGTCACTGCGTGCCGTGGTGCTACCGCGCCGCGGGGCTCATGAGCCAAGGTTTGCTTCGAGTTTTTTACACACACCAATTATGGCAATCATGAACGACACCACCGCCAGTCACAATCACTCTTGAAACTCAGCTCGTAACTTTTTGGTGCCATAGTTGTGTCCCTGCTCGTAACTTTTCATTCTGCTGTCTTTTGAGTCGACTCAAAAGTCACCTAGTTGTGTCCCTTCATCCTGCTGCCTTTTCTTCATATCGTCTTGATTCACCCTTTCCCCACTTCAAGACAACGTGTTCGTGACGGTAGTCGCGTCTATACAGTATCGGCGGTTCGCGACTCGCGAGCATATCAAGGACGCCTTCTACAAGCTGCAGGACCCTCAGCACTGTTTGCCTTCCCTTTCTTATTCCCGTTTTTGGCTTCCCCGCTTCAGGATAACGTCTTTGTCACTGTAGTCGCGTCGATACAGTACCAGGCGATTCGCGAGCAGATCGAGGACGCGTTCTACAAGCTGCAGGACCCGCAGGCGCAGATTCGATCCTACGTCTTCGATGGTGAGTGCTGCAGCTTTCGCGTTTTATGGTGGCCGATGCATCTCGTGATTAGGATAAATTTATTGCATCGCATTTTATGATGTCCGTCTCTAGACGGACGAGCTGCTATTGCACCCCGTCCCCTATTTTGCCAATGTTTTTAAATTCGCTATTTTCTGTTTCCCCCTTCACCACCTCCCCGCAGTGGTGCGCGCGAGAGTACCCAAGATGGATCTGGACCGTGTGTTCGAGGAAGAACGAGATCGCTCCTTCTTCCCCTCCCCTCCAATTCCCGCTTTCCCCTTTCTTTTCCGCCCTCTCCTTTCTCTTCCCCGCAGTGGTGCGCGCGAGCGTGCCCAAAATGGATCTGGACCGTGTGTTCGAGGTGAAGAACGAGATCGCGCACACGGTGGAGGAGGAGCTCGAGAAGGTGAGCGGAGTGAGGGTGTAGGTGTGGGGGAGGGGGAGGGGGGGGAGCAGCAGAGGTGCGCACAATTGTTCCGGAGAGTACAGTGTGTTTGAGGTGAAGAACGAGATCGCGCACACGGTGGAGGGGGAGCTTCAGAAGGTGAAGGGAATGAGGGAGGGGAGGGGGAAGGGGAGATGGCGAGATTTGAAGGGTGTGGAGAGAGTGAGATGGGGTCGAGGGGAGAGATATGAGAGAAGGGTAGGTTGGTGGAGGTTGGTTGTGGTTCCAATAGCACAGACTTCGTTATTGCTGGTGCTGGTTTTGACACTGCCACGAGTGCGGAGATTGCTTTTGGTGGGTGTACCGTGTGCAGCTATCATTGTAAATGTTACAATCATAGCAGTGCCACCATTAAAAGTAGTCTACGCACGCACTAGTAGCAGTGCTGGAACGAGCACCAGCAAAAGCATATCCCGTTGTATTGAATCACATCGAACCTCTTCACATCACACTACCCCTTTTTCACCTCCCTCCCTTCATCCCACCCACTGCCCCTGACTCTCGACAAGCACAATCTCTTGTTCTCAAATCTTGAGCTGGTAAGTGTGTATGTACAAAGAAATGTAACACTTCATATATCTCGGATGTATTGAGCAGGCGATGAGGACGTACGGTTACCGCATCGTGCAGACGTTGATAGTGGATGTGGAGCCGGATCATCGAGTCAAGGCCGCCATGAACGAGATTAATGCAGGTGAGAATGGCGGCCATGAACATGTGGGGATGCAGATAACAACGTATGTGATGTGATTGAAGTGAATGTGCATGTGGGGATGGATAGTGGATGTGAAGCCGGACCATCGAGTCAAGTCCCCCATGAGTTTTGAGACGTCTCAAAACTCTTCTTTTTTCATGAAGCCGGACCATCGAGTCAAGTCCCCCATGAACGAGATTAATGCAGGTGAGGGTGCAGATAGCATCACGTGTATGTGAGATAGCATCACGTGTGGCCAAATGGGAATGTGTATATGTGAGGCCACGATGGGTGGATGTGGATGTGTATACTCTGAGATGTGTATACTCTGAGATGTGTATACTCTGAGATGTGTATACTCTGAGATGTGTATACTCTGAGATGTGTATACTCTGAGATGTGTATACTCTGAGTGTGGATGTGGCGCTGGACAACCGGGTCAAGGCCATGATGAATGAGGTTATCACTGGTAAGAGTGTAGATGATTTTCACATTTGTTTACATACGTGTGTTAAAATTCATCTGCACGTATGTGGATGTGCATGCTAGTGGGTGTGGAGCTTACCGTTGAGTGAATGGCAAAAGAAAGGGTGGACTTTCACATTTGTAGATTTAGCATAAGAGTACAGCTATATGTGCACAGTGCACCAATCTCCTTGTGCTGTTACGTTCCATTACTCACTCGCACACCATATCCCCCCCAATCCTCCCTGCATGCAGCCCAGCGCATACGCATGGCCACACAGGAGAAAAATCGTCTCAGCTCGCGCGGATTTTGAGGCGCCTCAAAAATCATCTCCTTGTGCTGTTACGTTCCATTACTCACTCGCACACCATATCCCCCAATCCTCCCTGCATGCAGCCCAGCGCATACGCATGGCCACACAGGAGAAAGCAGAAGCAGAGAAAATTCTGCAGGTAATGTGATATTCTGGCAATGCATTATCGCATCGCTCCTTGAGGCACTTCAAAAGGCAATATTTTACTGCTTCGCAGTATCCGCTCACTTATGTTCACATATTCCCGAGTTCTGAACCG